AGGTTGATTATAATTTTGTGATTAAATTAGGCTTTAAATGATTTATTAGGAGATGAATTTAAATGATTTGTTTTTGTTTGTAAAATTCAGCTCGGAATATACTTCTTCTTCCGACAGTGATTCTGAGGAGGAGGACGATGACGACGACCTGTAACTTGTGATCATGGTCCTATTTTTATGGTCTAGGAAGGATACATTTGATTTTTGTTAGATTATGGCATTCAAATCCATTCGCACATTTACGGCAATTTTTGCATCCCCATCATCATTATCATCAATGTTCAGGAATTACAATTTGTGTTTGTTATGCTTTTTTTCGTCTAAGTGAAGTTGTAGTTGAATTTTAAATATTGTTACATTCTCTCAATCATTGATTCATGAATTTTTTCCATCACCATCATCAAAGTTCTCTACCTCAATTCTCCTACAAAAAATTCAAATATTTTTTCATTACCTTCCACTTTCTCACAAAAATCTCAGCTTCAAAACGCAATGGACTTTTGTGAATGGTTCCTTAACGCAGCGTTTTGGAAGTGTGTCATTTTTAATATATAAAGCCTAGAGACAAGCGACTTCGCATGTGATTCATGGATTAAAATTCAAATGTGATCGGAATGATGAACATACATCTATTCTATTATATTATATGTGAAGTAAATTGTCCTACATGGCGGCCTCTCATGGATTTGAGAGTGGTTGATTACATGGGTACCCTTAATAAAATCGACATAATTACGTACTATTGCCATTAAAAAATTATTTGGGCCAATTACGTGTTTTGCGTTATATATGTAGCTTTGAGTAGTTGGGCTTCATTTTAAATTTGTTTCGTGGCCCATATGCAAAATTATGAGGTCAAGAAAACCCTAGCCACTATTTTTATACTTTCTTAAATATATATAACAAGAATGTGAGTCTATTCCTAGGGTTTAGCTAACTTTATGTGATTTTTCTTCACTTTCTTTTGTGTTGTTAGGTTGTTATTTGCGCCTTCTATGTATTCTGTGTTTCCCTGTTCTTAGTGTTTTGTTGTAGATGTGATTTTTTTTTCCTTTACTAAGATATTTGAGCACTAACTAATCCAAATTTTGTTACTCAATCAGATGTTTATATTTGTAAATTTTGTTATTATATTTTCTCGCTGGTTCTGACGGCATGTCTGCGGTGCAGGTATGGTGGCTCTAGGGTTTCGGTTGGCGGTTCTAGGTGGTTTTTTCTTCCGTCGTTCTCCATCCTTTGAATACGGGAAGGGTGCGATGGAGGTTTTCTCTAGACCTGTCGGTGGGTCCTGTTAGGGTTTCGGAGGTTCCTGGGGTCTGTTGGTTTGGTGACTGCGAGTGTCCTTATGTGATTGAGTCAGTTTGGAGCTTGAGTCGAGATAGCTTCGGGTCTCAATGCTTGCGATTCTTGAGGTTTGAGGGTTTGAGGATTGGTTCTTTTTCGTGGGCTCTCTGTTTGGGATTCATGTGTCTTCTCTTCGCTTATGGTTTCTCTTTTTCACGAAACTAAAAATTTGTAATAACATAGATGTTATTGTGTCATCTGAAATTAGGCACTCTCATGTGTAAGATAATTAATATTCATATTACCTTATTGTTCTTTCTTTGAATGCTTCTTTTGGTAAATTCTTGATTGTATAGTTGTTGTTCTTCCTCAGACCCTTGAGATGCTAGAGAAGAAGGAAGGTGTTCTTCTGAAGAAAGCTCCTAAAGAAGTTGAGAGAGCAAAAGAATTCACCCGGACAAGATAAATGCGGTACGACCAATTCATCCAAACCAAAGTAACTAGTTGACTGATTGTTCACTTAATCACTTATGTGATTTTTAGATCACTACTAATGACTCCGAGAGTAATTAATATTCCATTGTTGTGGTAATTATTGTTTTGTTAGGTTTCCACTGGAGATGCTAAAAGAACAAAGACCAGAAGTCAAATTTGTGGCAAATTTCACCAAATCCTTATTATTATCAAGGTTCCATATATTCTGTTTGTTAATATTTTTGTGATTATTCGAATTTAACAAAATGG